TGATTCCTCTCACGCAAATGACGACTGTCCTGTGAAGGAAGATCCTAAGAAATTTAAATGTTCAAATTGTGGTGAAAACCACAAATCCAATTTTTGGGAATGTAAGACTCGCAAAGCGATCCTACAATCTCGTTCTAACCGACAGGTAAGAAACGCTCCACGGTACAAATTCCTCTGCTGTTAACAACGGTCAGCGAGGAACAAATTCTACATTCGTACCCGCAGGTACAAATATCACCCCTGCTTCAATTTTTTCATCTGTACCTACTCTCCTCGCTGCTAACAATGTTCAGCGAGTTAATGGAGCTACCTATGCTGCTATTGCAGCGGGTAGAAATCAAAATACTAACCAAAGTAATTCTAACGGAAATTTTGACAATTTTGACTTAGGAAGCATTACTGCCCCTAAAATGGAATTTTTACAGAAATCATTAATTGACATGATTTCTGATATGCTTAAATCTAACTCCATGTTTGATGCTATTCAAACTGGAGTAAAATTTGCAAATTGTCATGACTTTAAAATTCAGTAATGGATTTTAAAGCATTAAATATTGTAAATTGGAATGCTCGATCTCTTAAAGATAATGAGGACGAGCTATTTAACTTTTTGAGAGTTCATAACGTGCATATCCCCGTTTTAACTTAAACGTTCCTTAAACCTGACCATTAAGTTAAAAGGGAGGTTAATTATTTCCTTTATAGTAATGATCGTCTTGATGGAGCCAGTGGTAGCGTTGCCATCATTTTTCATAGACGAATCAAACATAAAATTCTTTCTTAATTTGAAACCAAAGTTTTTGAAAATTTGGGAGTTTCTGTTGAAACAAAATTTGGACAACTTACGTTTATAGCTGCCTATTTGCCATTCCAATGCGTAGGCCAGAAAAAGAATTTTCTCAAGGGTGACCTCCAGAAACTTACTTATAGGTCTAAATTCTTCATTATTGGTGATTTTAATGCAAAACACCGCTCATGGAATAATGCTCAAAGCAATTCCAATGGTAATATTCTGTTTGATGATTGTTCTGCAGGTTATTACACTATTCAATATCCAAACAGCCCAACATGCTTTTCTTCTGCAAGAAATCCCTCCACTATTGATTTGGTCTTAACTGATTCATGTCAACTTTGTAGCCAACTGGTTACCCATGCTGACTTCGGTTCTGATCACCTTCCAGTAACTTTTGACTTATCCCAAGAAATAATTTCTAATCCCAACAGCTCTACTTTCAATTACCATAGAGCTGATTGGGAGCAGTATCGAACATTTATGGAATATAACTTTGATCCAAACATTCCTTTGCAAACCAAAGATGAAATTAATTATGCTCTTGAATCTATGACTACTTCTATAGTTGCAGCAAGAGCTGCCTCAGTACCAAAATGCGAGGTTAAATTCGATTCAATTATAATAGACGACGATCTTCAGCTCTTGATCCGTCTTAAAAATGTCCGTAGGAGACAATATCAAAGAACACGCGATCCTGCCATGAAGGTTATCTGGCGGGATTTGCAAAAACAAATTAAAAAGCGATTCTCTGCCCTGAGGAACAAAACTTTTGAAAATAATATTTCTAAATTAGACCCGAGTTCCAAACCCTTTTGGAAACTCACAAAAATTTTATAAAAACCTCAAAAGCCTATTCCAGCGCTTAAAGAAGGTGGTAAAATTTTGATCACAAATTTGGAAAAAGCTCAGAAACTTGCTAAGCAATTCGAGAGTTCCCATAATTTCAGTTTGGGTCTTACTAGTCCTATTGAGAATCAGGTTGCTCGGGATTTTCTGAATATTTTCTCTCGGGAAAATATTTTTGATGTTTCCTGGGGGACTGATTTGGACGAAGTAAGGTCTATAACTAAAAAGTTTCAAAATATGAAAGCTCCAGGTGATGATGGAATTTTCTATATCCTCATCAAAAAACTCCCAGAGAGTTCCTTGTCTTTCTTGGTAAAATTATTTAACAGATGTTTCCATTTGGCATACTTTCCTGATAAATGGAAAAATGCAAAAGTTGTTCCAATTTTGAAGCCGGATAAAAATCCAGCTGAAGCTTCTAGCTACCGCCCAATAAGTTTGCTTTCTTCAATAAGTAAACTTTTTGAAAAGATAATTTTGAATAGAATGATGCTTCACATCAATACGAACTCAATTTTTGCAGATGAGCAGTTTGGATTTCGCCATGGGCATTCAACTACTCATCAACTCTTAAGAGTTACCAATTTAATTCGTTCAAACAAATCTGAAGGCCACTCAACTGGAGTTGCTCTTCTAGACATAGAAAAAGCATTCGACAGTGTTTGGCATGAAGGTTTGATTGCTAAATTGAAAAAGTTTAATTTTCCACTTTATATTATAAAATTAGTTCAAAATTATTTAACTGACAGAACTCTGCAGGTAAATTATCAAAATTCCAAATCTAATCGACTACCTGTTAGAGCAGGAGTTCCTCAGGGTAGCATTCTTGGGCCTATATTGTATAACATTTTCACTTCGGACCTCCCTGATTTGCCTCAGGGTTGCCACAAATCTTTGTTCGCTGATGACACAGGCATTTCCGCTAAAGGAAGAAGTCTTCGTGTTATTTGCAGCAGACTGCAGAAAAGTTTAGATATTTTCTCTTCTTATTTACAAAAATGGAAGATTTCTCCCAACGCTTCCAAAACTCAACTTATAATATTTCCACCAGTGATGGCATAATCCTCACTCAAATGATTTTGTTTCGCTCTCAAGGGCTCCCAATATCACGCATGATATTGGAATAAAATATCAAGCATGATATTGTTTTTACAAGCTCCTTTGATATTGCGTAATGTAAAATTGCAGCCACGAGTTGACTTACCACAAAAATGATTCCTTTGCACATCGTTTTCTTAGAAAGAGAAAGCATACTTTGCTATCTTTCTTTACGCTTCACAGATGGCAGACACGAAGCTACTGTTGCCAGCAGTGATGGAAGTTTCGTTTCGTGTTCGGATGTACAGCAAAAATCTTGAAGCTCAAACTCAACACAGTTTGGTGAGAATTGTAGCTGGAGAGTTTTGTTAGCATGATATCATAGCAACCGAATCACAGCTTGTAATATCATGGGCTGTTGTTTGCGTGTTGAGTTTTTGGTTTACGATACTCAAATGAGATTATGCACATTGGTGAGATAAGATCTTTTGATATTTTCACAACACTGATTTCCACATAAGCCTAGAGCTTCGTTTTTGAAACCTAGTAGTAGTCACATAGTCACTATGAACGGAGTTCCAATTTCCTGGTCAAACCAAGTGAAATATCTTGGATTAATACTTGACCAAAAATTAACTTTTAAAGATCACATTGAGGGCATTCAAGCCAAATGTAACAAATATATTAAATGTTTGTATCATCTTATAAACAGGAAATCCAAACTTTGCCTGACGAATAAACTTTTAATATATAAACAAGTTTTTAGACCGGCCATGCTTTATGCTGTGCCAATATGGTCTAGTTGTTGCACTACCAGGAAAAAAGCACTTCACAGGATTCAGAACAAAGTTCTGAAAATGATTTTGAGGTTGCCTCCCTGGTACAGTACTACCGAGGTACATAGAATTTCGAATGTTGAGACTTTAGAACAAATGTCCAACAAAATAATTAATAATTTCAGGCAAAAATCGTTGCAATCCTCAATTGTAACGATTAATTCTCTTTATGCTTAGATAAGATTTAGTTTTAGTTTTTAGTTTTAAGATATCAATTGTTATACTGACATGCAGGTTAAAAAACCTGTTTAAAATACTTAATTGCCAAGACATGAACAATGTAAAAACACTTAGATATATATCATAACAATTAAGGCTGGTACGTTACTGCAGTAACTGGAGCACCTAGGTTAAAAATGAAATGTAATTTATTATGAATTTAGAACAAATAAAGAGTAAAAAAAAAAAAGAAAGCTGGCAAAAGTGCTGAAGATGCCGAAAACAACAGTTTGTCGAGTGCTCAAAACCTACAAGGAAAGCCTGAGTGTGGAAAGGAATCAGCGGACTTACGAAAAACTGGAACCAGGGATCTTTAGCTGCGCAGCAAAGCCAACCCCGGTCTTTCGATCCGAGATGTGGCCAGAAGGTACAACGCCAACTTTCAAACGGTGCGGAATATCCTTGCCAGGGAAGAATACAAGTTGTGCAAAGCCAGTAAACATCCGAACCGGCACATGAAGCAGAATTCCGTGGCCAAAAAGCGTGCAAGGCTCTTGTACGACCGTGTTTTGACGAAACGCAAGGGCTGCACTTTGATCGATGACGAAGCATACGTCAAACTCGATTTTAAGCAGTTTCCCGGTCAAAAGTTTTACATTGCGACTGGACGTGGGGATGTGCCGGGAAGATTCAAGTTCACGTTTGCCGACAAAGTCACGAAGAAGGCCATGATTTGGCAAGCGATATGCAATTGTGGCCTGAAAACGGAACCATTCGTCACATCCTCGACGATGACATCCCAAGTTTACATCGAAGAATGCCTGAAAAAGCGTATATGTATTGCCGTTCATCCGCAAGCATAGGGGCAAAGCCATCTGATATGCTGTCAAAAAGGATCAATTTTGTCCCCAAGCTAAGGAATCCTCCGAATTGCCCGGAATTTCGACCAATCGAAAAATACTGGGCAATTTCAAAGCAGCGACTTCGACGAAGCGGCGGGGCAGTCAATGACATCCAGCAAATGCGTGCAAAATGGAAGAAAAGCGCTGATTTCGTGTCCGTTTCCACTGAGCGGGCGCTGATGGGCGCCATCAAGGGGATGGTTCGAGATTTAGTTCGAACTGGAGAAATGTAACCATCTGTATAAAAGTACTGTAAAGCAATCATTAATGGACTCTTTAAACATATTGAATCACGAATTATAGGTCTTGTTGTGCGTACCAATTTACTTTAAGTCAGCCTTTATAACCATTAGTGCAATGCATGAGCTATTTATAAACAGCTGCTAGGATTTCTTTCAAACAGAATCGCCATCAGCGCATTTTTGTTGAACTTTAAATTTTATTTTATTGTTTTCATTCAAGTTTCCGTATAACTTACTCATTTCTAACGGCAAGAGAACCAAATGCTGTACATTATGTTCATCTAATTCGAATCCATTCTCGCGGGTCTGAAATCAAATTTCGCTATAATTTTCCTGTAGCCGGTTTTTCGTTTTACTTAGCTGTTCCTAGCTCAACTCAACAACGTCTCTACAACCGCGCTCCAAAGCAATTAAAATTAAGAAAAAAAGCTCGTTTGGCAACATCCAGGAGATGAACAACATAAATCAATAGTCATGCTCGGAAGCAATCGTAGAATATCAATAATCAAACGTGTCTGCCGGTCGGTATACTAGGATTAAATAAAGATTATGAGGCTGCAGTGAGAGAAACAATAGCTATATAGGGAACATCTTTTTTTTTTTTCCTAGAACCGCACCGGAGTCCAACAGCCGGTCGACTCATCCCGTCTAAAGTAGTGCGGATTATTATTCCGGAACACCGTCACCGCTGGAAATTGGTTATCTTGGATGTATCTAAGTGTGGCACGGACCTAAAAAAAAAATGAAAATCAATCAGTACGTTTCATACCGAATAGCAGTATGCTTAAGGCCTCTAGGTTCCTGTCTCCGCTACGAGCTTAAACTTACTTGCATAGCAAAGTGGGGTGGTTCCACCTCGGGACTAGTGGATAGATGCTGTAGAATGAATTCGTCGCTTTGCGACAACCAGAGGTCCACCCCGCGCAGTGGGTCGTAGTTGAATGGACCGATCCGGAGCATTCCGACGGTGGAATCATAGATATCGAGCACCTAAAACGATCCGCCAGTTAGGTTTTGGATTTTACTAAATTTGTCAACGATGGTTAATGAGTGGTGGTTACCTGATGGCCACCGGTAAAGTGTCGCGCCATGCGCAGCTGAATATCGGGGCCCTTGTCCGGGAAGGTGGCCGGGAAGATTTCTCCCGTTTTGACGTTCACCCCGATGCCGTAGATGATGGGCCAGTTCAGGTCTCCCCGCAGGATGGTATTCAGTTCGCCGACGCAGGCCTGCGTCAGATCGATCTCCAGTGGGTGTTTGTGGAAGGACTCTGCAAGGGAGTGAAGGATGATAGAAAAGCAGTGTTAGTTTGCAGTCTCGTTGTTTTGATTTGCTTCATGAATGATTTTTGTATGACGCTAGTTGACGAAGCTTAGCACAAAAAATAAGCACTCATGGACTTCATTTACCCGAACCCGTCATTTATTCTACGTCATGTGCGAAAGTATGGATTGTTTAGTTATTTTCCGTGTTTGAATTATTAATTTTGCCAATCGTCTAACGTTAATTTATCCCTGAACATCAAACTGCAACTGAGGATTCTCATTCCTCAAAAATCATTTAAAGCACCATTCAAAACGAGCAACAAGTCCGGGCATTCCCTCTCCTCACTACCGACCCGGGGAGAGTATCGTTGATTGGAGTCAATTTTTTGATTTAATTATTTTCTAATTGACCTTCACCGGAGCAACTGGCGGACCACTTCTCGTCAGCGCGTACGACACTCTCGCACAGCAGCTGACTGATGAAGATTGAATTAAGTGCCCTAGCTGCTTTTAATGGACCACTTTGGACCGCCGTCGTCGATTGTCCGCATCCATTTCCATACAGTAGGGTAGGTGTTCCAGTAATAGTTGCGTATGGGGTTTATGTCAGAATGATGGTGGAAAGCTATATGCATTTAATTTTCATAGTAAACTCTTCTAAAATGAAGTAGATTTGCTTACTTGAAACATGAAATTTCCATTATATGTAGACTCTTTTGCGCCTTTAGCTGCGGTAGTTATTCTACAATAGTGGAGTCCATTAGAAACCAACGCGTTCCACTATTATAGGCACCAAAGTTACCAACTGTCACAACGGTCGAGTTTTCAACAAATGTAAAAAAAATAATCACAATGTAATAATTTCCGAGCTAAATAGCTATACCTTTAACGTACAGAACTGATATGCATATCGTTTATTTATTTTTTAATAAATAAATTGTCTTAGTTCCTCCACTTCTGGCTCACCCACCCTAGGCACCAAGTGATGTATTACACGGTTTGATTGTATCTGCTCATTTGAAAGAGAAAGAACTGCCATGTAAGCAAGATAAAATTCAATTGAGGACATTATTTTCCATTGCATTAAACAAAGTGTCGTTCGGGTGCGTTAGCGAACCATCATGATTCATGGGGAGGGAGTCATTTCACACCGACTTCTTCGTGGTTGTATTTTGTTTGTTCTTGCAACCCGGCGGTCTAATGGAATTAATGGATCTGAAAGCGGAATCATATGTGGCTGGACATCGCCTATCAAATGAGCCAGCAGCTCGAGCGGTTGGTAGATTAATGGACATTTATGGGTCTTGTTTCTCGACGAGCCGATGGGTGGTGGTGTGATTATGCGGTTTGACTAATTTGTAGTCAACTTGTTGGGGTGGGTGCCTGACGATGCAACATTTGGGATGAGTTGAAAGGAGAAGCGCTGACGGGTGGTTTAATTGGGTTAAGTCAATTGAAGAATCGTTTCTCTTTCCGGAATTAACGATGTAATTTATCATGAATGAATGAAAGAGAATTTGAATTTCATGGTTGGTGCATTCAATTACTTAAGTCAACTTTATTTGATATGAAGCATTTCCAGCTCAATACGGCAAAATAAAACCACTTTTGTACCGACTCTTTCAGGTTTGAATAAATCTTTGCACATATGTTCGTTTTACCCAATGGTTACATTGTCCATTGAAAATGTGTTGATATTCCTGTTTTTTTTTTTTATAAGCATTATGTAAAAATATAGTTTTATTTTTCAATTTAAGGACGGTTAAATTGATCAAAATCATGTCTGAGAAGTTGTAGGTAATATTATCGTACATCGGAAATAAAACAAAGATGTAATTTTGGAAATATTTTTCCTAAAACTGTAAAATTTGGATCTATTTTAAAATTTGATAAACTCAAAAAAATCATAATTGAGAACACTTTTTAAGCATTAAACCATCAACTTTGCCAAATAGGGTATATGTCCCTAACCTCGGTCTAATATGAAGGCTTCAATTACATGTTATGCCGTATCTTATGTAATGATTGAGCTGCCGTCAATATTTCACTGTGAACATGTAAGCTTAGATATTCTTATCATTTGGCTATTGATTAGGCACGACTGAAAATTGCTTAATCTCACCATTTTAACATGAAAACCTTCCAGGTACGTGGATGTAATGTTGGTCTACTGTACTCAAATTGGGTTTTTAAATGGATGCAACTTCGTCCTATCGAAGATGAACCTCGATCTACAAAGGATCGGCATGTGGAATTGCGCTTCTTTTTCACGCTTTATCATTCATATGTAACCACATTGTTGACATCACTTTCACTTCTCGCGTAAAAACTAATAAGGATAAATGATATAGTGTTTTTTAAGTGCTTTTGTAAACAATGGCTTTAGACGTCGATTTCTCGCAATTGCAAACCCACCCCTCCAAATTACAAATGCTAGCTGATACAGGAAACATTCCTATGCGTGCTGGTGTCATTCATTTTCATGAGTGAGCTTTCATTCGCGAGAAATCGACAACTAAAGCCATTGTTTACAAATGCAATTACACCCCTTCGAAATGTTGGCACTGAAATCACGAGCAAAATAGATCATCTCACGACCACACATATAACGAACTGTAGAGTCAAGTGATAGCAAGCCGAACAATGCATTAGCTCCTAAGTAACATTGACAGATTCTCTTAGTAGATTTTTTATTTGCATTCCCACGGCCATGTATAGATACTTCCAGCTATTTCCAACACATAGTTCGATAAAAGAAGCCATTATATAGCATTTAATACGGCAAACTCGGCAAGAAATGGATTTGTAGCCTAGTTATTAACGAAAGAGAAAGTGAACGAGGAGAATCGATCAATGTTACTTAGGACCTAATGCATTGTTCGGCTAGATAGTTTTTTGAAGGGCCTATACGGTAAATGAATATGACTCATATTTGAATCCCGATCACTCAAATTCGCAAAAACGTAAGTCACTCATAGAATGAGTAAATGTTTACACAAATATGATTAAACGTCACCCATATATGATTAAATGTCACTCAAATATGAGTGACAATTAATCATATTTGATAAAAATTTACTCATTCTACACGGTAAGAAAAAAGTACCCAACGGCCAGTTCACTTTTAACTACTTTTGACTAGCTTGTCTCCGTTTCTCCTTCTAATGTTGTCAAAAACAGAGGAGCAAAACCACCCAACATATAATCATATTTACCTACTGTTGGGTAAAACTAACTTACTTTTGGTTAAAAAACCAGTGGAAAATTCCATACAAACTGCACACAAGTAAATGAAAATTACTTTGACCCGCTTTACCTACCTTTGGGTTCCTGCACTATAGCTCCGAGATGAGTGAAAAGAACTTAATTTTTGGTACTTTTTTCTAACCGTGTACGATTGATTTACGCTTTTGCGAGTTTGAGTGAACGGTACTCAAATATGAGTCAGGCTCATTTGCCCTGAAGTTTGTTTTGACGGGAGGATTTACTGTATACGCTATTTCAAAACTACCTAAATTTGAGTAGAATCCACCCAGATCGGTCAAAACTGAAGCTACCCAAAAATGGGTAAACGTACCTGCAACAGAAACTGGGTAACGGTAACTCAGATGTTGACATTTGATAAAAGGGTAAACTTTACCCATTTTAATAGAAATTAGATGATATGACCGCTGCAGTAGCTCTATCAAACATAACCTCACCCGACTAGTTCCTCTAGCCTGTTATTAATTGTTGGGGTCGTATTGTCGGAAAAATATAAACTACGGAATACGACAAGGAAAAACCCACAACAAAACGAAACCGTTACAAATGCTAACCATTTATTGAGATTTTATATTAAATGAGATCTTAAAATTAGGAACTGCAACAAACATTTTTCATCGAGAAAGGCGTCACAGAATATCTTCTCGAATATCTCGATAACCTAGAACTAGGAGAATGTTCAAAGTCCAGAAATCAGATTTATATATTTTGAGCATTAAAACTTTCACTGGCAGCGCAACAATCTCCCTTTCATACCTGCGCCATTTTTAACTTTGGAAAAATTTCGATTAGAACTATTTACCCAGAATCTGGGTGGATTCTACTCATGAGAACAAAACTAGTTTACCAGGATTTTGAAAACTCATTACTGGATACAAGAATAGGTGCCATCTACCCAGTCACTGGGTAGATTCAGAATAGCGTGTATGCAATGACCTGATTCAGAATAGCGTGTACGACTTCTTCTCAGACGTTAATGAACCATTGAATCAAGGCTTTTTTACGCACAGATGGCGCTGTTCCATTGGTAGTAAGTATTGAAAATCCCCACATAGAATCTTAGAAAGAGGTAATAATACGCTTTTGATACATATTAAGGTCAGAACAAATTGAAGACAACCTAAATAAATGATTCATTTACTTTTTCGTTCCCTTTTTTCCTGGAAATTATTGTTGAACAAGGTACAATTACATAGTAAAGGTTTTTTCCCATACATTTTGACGTAGGATTATGTCTTTCGGCAACATATTAGGGGTGCAATTTCAAAAATCCAAAATCGACCGCGTTACGAAAGTTGTCAGGTTTTGAGGTTAACTCTGTCTATAGCGGATGCCAATCGATTGGAAATTTTTCAACGAATCTTCTAAAATAAACACTTTATCAATTTTTAATAGGTCACTATTGAAAATTACACAAATGTCCAACTGTTGCAATGGTGATCAAAATTATCTCCGAGTGGCTGCAAAAAGCGTTTTCACTAGCACAGATTTCAAAGTCGAATTCCATCCGGTCTCGCCGAACGGTGTTTATTCAATCACCGCGTGTGGTGAGTGTTGGTTTCCGGCAAGGTTGCAAATACTCATTTCAGCTAAAATAATGTTTTTCGGAATAATAAAACAAAAAGATGGTATGATGACATGTTTTACTTGTAACTTACAGGAAAAGGTTACAAAGTATTCGTTTGAAACATAAAACCTGTAAATTTTGCTTTCTATGGGTCACAATCAGCGATTTGCTGAT